TACTCGAAGCTTTACTTCTACAAGCGAGTTTAACGGTACTAGCAGGGTTTGTGTTTTCTGCAAGGGCGATCATTCAATTTATTCCTGTGAACAATTTCTTAAGCTTTCTATTTCTGAGAGGCGCAATTTTGTCAATAAAGCAAAATTATGTCTAAACTGCTTAAGACCAGGTCATATTCGTTCTAAATGCAAACTAGGGCCTTGCCGAAAATGTAAGCAATGGCACAATACTCTTATTCATGAGGAAATTTCTAGTAATAAACATGAAAACAATGAAACTATAGTAAACAATAATACTTCTCTAACTTCCATAACTGCATTGCCCTCTGTGCAGCAAACAATTCTATCAACTGCCTGTGTAAAAATAGCAGATTCGAGGGTAAATATCACATTGCGCGTGCGCTTCTAGATTCAGGTTCTCAGAAATCATTCATTACCGAGCGCTTATTCAATCTCTTAGGTTTCCAGGGTCAAGCTACCAATCTTTCTATCACTGGCATCAGCAATCAGACTTCCTGTTCTTCCAGAAAGTGCAATATATGTATAGAATCACAATATCACTATTTTAAAGCTGATGTTACATTTTTTATTTTAAAAGAAATAACTAGCAATCTACCTGCAACATTTGTCGATAATGAAGCCTTGAATATCCCAAACAATATTATACTAGCGGATCCTAAGTTTCTCGAATCTAGACCTATTGACATTTTAATTGGGGCAGATCTATTTTGGCAACTATTGTGTCCCAACCAAATCAAAATCAATCAGTACGTTTTCCAAGAGACTCATCTAGGATGGGTTGCATCTGGTCAGGTCGGTCTCTCTAGTTTAAACAATATCAGATGCCACCTCAGCACTAGCACTAATTTGGATTTGCAAATGCAGTTAGCAAAATTTTGGGAATTGGAGGAATGCCAATCTACTAAGATTCTCTCCAATGAAGAACAATTTTGTGAAGAGCACTTCAAGGAAAATACACGTCGTAACGAGAACGGTCGATTTATTGTGCGTCTTCCATTAAAACAGTCACCGGAATCACTAGGTGAATCCAAGGTTCAAGCAGAACAGAGATTCTACAGCCTTGAAAGAAAACTCAAAAGAAATCCATCATTCCGTGAATTATACGTTCAGTTCATGCAAGAATACCAAGAGCTTAATCACATGACTGCGATAGAAGAAAACGATTATCCTCATCCTGTATACTATATGCCACATCATGGAGTGCTTCGTGAACAAAGTTTGACTACCAAACTACGAGTAGTATTTGACTGTTCAGCACCGACCACATCAGGGTTGTCTTTGAACCATATTCAATGCGTCGGGCCTACCTTACAGGATGATCTATTTTCAATACTAATTAGATTTCGTCAGCACCGATATGTCGTAACAGCGGACATCGAGAAAATGTATCGCATGATTACTGTTGACGATGAATGCAAAAACTTACAAAGAATATTATGGAGGGACGATCCTTCCGAACCAATAAAAACATTTGTTCTAAAGACCGTTACATACGGACAAGCATGTGCATCTTACTTAGCAATAAGATGTCTTATTCAACTCGGCACGGACAATGAAAACACTTTTCCCGAGATAGCAGAAATCATTCTGCGCGATTTCTACGTTGACGATATGCTTACTGGAGCAGACACTATTGAAGACACCCAACATATCTGCCAAACCGTCTCAAACATTTTAAAATCAGGTTGTTTTAATCTACGAAAATGGTATTCGAATGACAATAGAGTATTAGACGGCTTGCAGCATTCAAACGATGCATGTATTTTGAAGTTTGATCCAGAAGAAAAGGCAAAAACGCTTGGACTAACATGGTCGTGTAATGAGGATTTACTACATTATGAGGTGGAAACACTACCCATCAATAAAATTCCTACTAAACGATCTGTTCTTTCTTCAATATCCAAGATTTTTGATCCATTAGGACTTTTAGGTCCATGCACAGTGTTAGCCAAAACTATAATGCAAAAACTTTGGCTCGAGAAGATTTCTTGGGATGCACCCATTCCAAACGATTTAGCAGAACGTTGGATTAAATTCCAATCTGAATTAACCCAGCTTAGTCAAGTCAATCTTCCTAGGCATGCCATATGCAAGAGTTATAAATACATTGAAATTCATGGATTTGCTGATAGTTCTAGTATTGCATATGGGGCGTGCATTTATTTACGTAGTGTAGATCAGTACAATAAGGTCCACATTCATTTACTTTGCTCCAAGTCAAAGGTAGCTCCAATAAAAACAATTAGTATCCCTAGGTTAGAGCTTTGCGGAGCACTTTTGTTAGCACGTTTATTCAATAAAGTGAAGCAATCTTTGAGAATAACAATAAACGAAACTATTTTATGGTCCGATTCCACTATAGTACTATCCTGGATTCGCACCAGTCCAAATTTACTGAACACTTTCGTCAGTAATCGAGTATCCGAAATTCAATCACTCACTTCCAATTGCAAATGGCGACACGTATCATCACGTGACAATCCATGTGACATCTTGTCCAGAGGTCTATTTCCCAGTCAAATTTCGAATCACGAGATATGGTGGTCAGGTCCTCCATGGCTTCAGTTGAATGAATCCTACTGGCCCAGCTCTAAGTTCGACTATGTTTTAGACCTGCCAGAATTAAAGCAACAAAATTTTACTCATTTGGCCACTACCTCAAAGCTATTTCCATTTGAGCGCTTTTCACGTCTTAGTCGTTTAAAAAGAGTGGTTGCTGTGTGTTTTCGTTTCAAATCAAATTCTCTACGCTCAGATGAGAGAAGATCTCTTAATAAATATCCTATTTCCATTGACGAATTAGATCAAGCTTTTCATTCATTAATTCGAATGTCACAACAAGAATCTTTCTCAACCGAAATTGAGCTCTTAACCAATAGCAAATCAATAATTAAGGGCAAACTAGCTAGTCTAAATCCATTTTTGGACGATAAAGGACTTCTGCGGGTAGGCGGTCGTCTGATCAATGCTTCCTATGAATTTAATAAAATTCATCCCATTGTTTTAGACTCAAAGCACAAGTTTTGTCAGCTTCTTTTTCAATTTGAACACTATAGATTAATGCATCTTGGTCCTCAGGGTTTGTTAGCCACTATCCGAGAGCAATTCTGGCCCATCGGGGGCAGAAGACTCGCTAGGTCAACTGTTAAATCGTGCCTCACTTGTTTTCGATTTAATCCAAAGACCATACAACCTATTATGGGTAACTTACCTAAGGAGCGCCTCACTTTGTCTAGTCCTTTTAGCTATACCGGAGTAGATTATGCTGGACCTTTCAATATCAAAACGCACAAGGGGCGTGTTGGTTCTATAATTAAAGGTTACATCAGCTTATTTATCTGCTTCACTACAAAGGCGGTGCATATGGAACTTGTTTCAAGTCTTTCAGCAAACGAATTTTTACTTGCTCTTCGCAGATTTGTTGCACGGAGGGGCAAGCCTATAAAGATATTTTCCGACAACGGAACTAATTTTGTGGGTGCATTTAAAGAGTTAGGCACTTTTCTTTCTAATAACGAACTAACCTTGCAGAAAGCATATACTCAAGAAGCTATTTCATGGCATTTCAACCCACCATATTCACCACATATGGGCGGAATCTGGGAAGCGGGTGTGAAGAGTTGCAAGCATCATTTAAAGAGAGTTCTTCAAAATACTCATTTTACATTTGAGGAATTCAATACCATGTTAAATCAAATTGAGGCTATATTAAATTCCCGTCCGCTCTGTCCGCTATCATCCGATCCATCCGACTATACTCCATTAACCCTGCTCATTTTTTAATTGGTCGACCATTGGTTGCATGTCCAGACCGCAACATTACTGAAGAAAGAGTAAATCGTCTTACCAGATATCAGCACATCCAGTTATTGTGTCAGCATTTTTGGCGACGTTGGAGTCTCGAATACATCGCCGAACTTCAATACCGAACCAAATGGAAAACCAACCATGGCAGCCTATCTGAGGGTTCCCTTGTTTTACTCAAGTCGGACAATACTTTACCTACTCAATGGCGTTTAGGTCGCATCGTTCATATTTTCAAGGGCTCTGATGACGTCGCAAGAGTAGCATCAATCAAGACCCAAGATGGAATCGTTAAGCGGAGCTTTACGAAAATTTGTCCATTACCAATTGAAAGCTAAAGCCTTTTGCTTTCAAGGCCGGGGGCATGTTTGCGCCGCAAACAATTATTTTAGATTTTTTATTACAACCGGCAACTGTGTGCGTGACTTCAGCTAGGAGTGCGCGTACCTAACAGAAAGGAGAAAGACATCACCGAGACATCATCAAGCAAGCAGCTCGCAGTTCAGTGAACAAACAATAAATTCGTTACATAGTTCCATTTTACAAAGGACGATAGTGGTTTAGTTTAAAACAGAGTTTTGTTATTTCAAATAAAGCCAGTGTTTACAGTCCACCAAGTTTTTCATTTTACCATATATTAATAAAACTACAATAGACAATAAACTAAACACTGTCTTTCAGCATTCCGCTGTTTTTTTTGTGGCCTATTATTTTGCTCATCTTTTACTATCTTTTTACGAACTTTGTATAAGTCGTATTGTTTTGCAATTCTCAATTCTCAAACTCTTTCAGTATTCCGCTGTTTTTTTGCGGCCTATTATTTTGCTCTTCTTTTGCTATCTTTTTACGAACTTTGTATAAGTCGTATTGTTGTTGCAATTGTTCAGTAACTTAAGTTTTTGTTCTGAGAAACACCCAAACACCCTGAAATATGTCTTGGATTGGAAACAAAAAGGTGAAAGGCCTAAGACCTCTTTCGTCGAAGGAAAGACCTGAGATATATATATATATATATATATATATATATATATATATAGCTTAATATTTAATGTATGTAATAAATATAAGTTATGTTATGCGTACTATTGTACGATAGGAAAACTATATTAATATTGGCATTCTTTTCGAAAAAAAAAATCCTTTTAATATTTTAAAAATCGTTAATTTAATTACAGATCCCACCACCACCACCCCGTCCAAATTTCGATGCTTCTCGTGAAAAGTTACAACGCTTAGGTGAAGGGGAAGGTACCATGACCAAAGAGGAATTTACGAAAATGAAACAAGAATTAGAGGCGTAAGTATTGTAGTCAAAAACATACATTTTTGCATAGTTATTATGACGTTTTCATGTCACCGGCTGTTGGATATTTATATTTCTATATTTCACAATCTTGTGACCTCTGATTATAAGGGTATAGAAAAATGTATTGGCGAACGATTGATAAACACATGTGAGCAAAATAAGAAGAATCTAAGAATATTAAATGGTTTTTACCAGCACAAAGAAATACACAAATGTACATGAACGCAGAACTAAAGATGCCCCTGGAATCTTTCTGTCACACAATACACCACTCGCTATCTTCTACTTCATCCATCCCACCCTAATCCTGCTGCACGCATCTGCATATATTTCCCCATTACTCTGTAATACAGATTCTAGGTACTATTTCTTCTAGTTATTATAACTATTACTTTTCACTTACCATCCTAAATTATCATTTTATGTATTTGTAGTAACTCTGTAATTTTAATCTGTACTAAGAAAATAGTTGTAGTATACTATAGCATTTATTCTCATTAAATGTTCATTTGTTGACAACCCTCATCTTTCAAACAATGCATTCATACAACATGCAAAAATTTGGGGAGATTTTCGATTAAACCTAAAAGATTCCATTTCAATGTTGAAGGAAGGTACATAATATTCTAGTAGATACACCATAGAATTAAAAACTTCAAAATAACAGTGGTTTTTATTTTTGAATGTTTCTTAAATATGTTTATAACTGTTTAATTAAAAAATATTACTGTTTGTTTAAATACTTTTTTTTTTATTTTAGGGAATATCTCGCCACCTTCAAAAAAACGGTTGCAATGCACGAAGTATTCCTCACTCGATTAGCTAGTCATTCCATATTTAGAGAAGACCAACACCTTCATGTTTTTCTCGAATATGATCAAGATTTGTGTGCCCGTCCTAAAGGGAAGCTCCAGCAGTTGGGAGGTCTCATAAAGTCAGTAGGAACCACTACTGATCAGTATTACCTAAACGCTACAGTTAGAGATGTGAACGATTTCTTTGAACAGCAGATGAACTCGTTAACGGAGTACCACAATCAGTTAAAGGATGCAACTTATCGGACTGATAAGATGACTGAAAAGCACAAAGAACTAGCCGATAGCTATATTAAAATATCCGGGGGATTAATTCAACTAGCTAACAGTGATAACGGAAGACTAGATAAATATTTGTCAAGGGTATCTGATACATTCGAAAAGGTTAGGAAATTAGAAAGTCGAGTGGCTAGCGATCAGGATCTAAAGTTGGCCGATACACTTCGATACTATATGAGGGACAGCCAAGCTGCTCGAGCTCTTCTGGTGCGCCGACTTAGGTGTTTGGCAAATTACGAAAATGCCAACAAAACTCTCGAAAAAGCCCGTCATAAAAATAAGGAAATTCACGCGGTAAGTTATTTTTATTGTTAACCACAATGGAGAAAATGAAGTAAAATGTTGGTTGTTAAAAAGAATTTATAATCCGTAACACTTTGTTTATAAATAAAATAAAATAATAGTTATAGGTTAAAATGAGATCACTAGGTGATAGCATGTTGTCAATAGATAAGGAGCTTTTGAAGTTGTTTTAAAATCTAATAAAATCCGTGTTTCCCTCTATTTCGTTATATTCTTGTTGTTTCGAAGGATATCTTACAAGTAGAGGTTAAAAAGTAGTTTTAATAAGTGGTGAATTATTCTTCTGTGATTCGTATCTCTCGCATTTTGATGAGGTTACTGATACGACGTTTAGGTAACTCCCTTTTAATATGTAATTTAATATTTCATATATTATGCGAACAGTTGGTTGCGAAACTACAACAAGATGCAAATCAGTGAAAATTTTGTAATTGCGAGTATCCTGAGTACTTGATCCTGATTTACACAGACCGAAATAGGAGTATGCAATTTATACGATATCGAGTTTTCTCAGGATAAAAAGTAATAGAGATAGAAGGGTAGAAAAGAAGAAGAAAAAGAATTATAGTAGCACACAGTAGTGAGACATCACGACTAACAAGAACATCCGAAATGCTGTAAAATTGCTAGAGAGGATCTGTATGATGATAGAGTCTAGAGGTGGTGGAAATGTGAAGTCAAGGGAGCCAAGTATGAAATAATATACAGCATTAAAAGCATACATCTGAAAATGTATGGCCATTTACAGAGTTTGACAGATGAGAAAATATCTTAACAAATACTGTTTTGAAGACCAAGGGGATATAGAAAAAGAGAACGATCCAGTCTATCTAGACTGGCTAGAAGAAATTAATCGTAGAAAATACGAGAGAAAGAGAGAAAATGTGAAAACTGGTACGGAGTTTAATGATTAATTTTAAGTTTTTTAATCTAGACCAACATTTTACTTTCATATGATCGTTCACATATCCATTGCTTAATAGACTTTGGTTATTAGTGCCATTTAATTTAGGTGTGAATTAAATTTATTTATAAATTTTATATTTTGTTTTCATGCAACTGTTTGGCAGGCACCTGAAATACAAGAGGTATGGGATATTAACTTAAAATTTGCATTTGCACAGAAAGCATGCTTTCTTTTTCGTTACTAGCAAACTGAAATATTTACTTTCTTTTTCACTAGTCACTATATTATTTTGTACTATATAATGTGTCTGTAACTCTTACAAAAATGCATTTATAATTCAGTAATTTATTTTTAGGAAAAATGCTTTCAATAACATATAAGTAAAAGGACTATCATTTAATTTATTAAAAAAAATCACGGGACATTTCAATTGAAATGTCTATTTGTATGATTTGGTATGCTCTGTCCATCGTTTCCTTGCACGTGCACCGTTTATACAAATTAAACCAAGATGTTTAAGTCGAAAAGTACACTATCGATGTTTGATGTAAGTTAAGAAATGGCTAATATCCCAGTAAACGTTATTGAAGTTGTTATATAACTTATTCGATTTTGACAAACGGATTTACATTTACAAAAGTTATTTTTAGATTTTTGCAAATATACAGGCATTCCAAAAATGACGTTTATTAGAATTATAGTTCTTTTTTTTAGTGATGGGCAAATTGGTGGGTTATAAATAAAAAAAACGGAATACCGATTCAGTAAATTGTTGACACGTACGTTCCGACTTATTTAAAATCTTGATAAGTGCACTTAGATCTTATGTTTATACAGTAATATCATTTCAAAAAAATGTTCATAACGTTTCACATAAAATTCAAATTTTTATACTCATGAATCAAAGATCATTACCGGCTGTGAAATCTCAAACCCAATAAACAAGCGAAATATCTACTAAAAACGTTTGGCCTGAAGGCTTGTGCCTTTCTAGGGTTTTATTCCAAGACTTCTTCTTTAAGTCATTGTTCGTCGAAGTCTTTTTGGCAGGCTTATTTGTGGAATTTATTAGCCTTCTTTGCAAATTCAGGAGGCGGCATACTCCTATCCGATCTTGGTCTTTTTTTACTAGGTTTCTCAGTGGCAATTTCCAGCTTTTGCTTTGCCTGGTCTGTCTCACGGTGATTTATTGAGCTGCCGAAATGTTCCTTTATCATACAGCGTTGGGTTTATATTTTTGGTCTTTCTAACCAGGCTCTCTACCCTTTTTTTAGGGGACCTGACCGCTTTATCTTTGGTACCTCTTCATTAGTCATTAAGTCTAACTTCTCAGTGGAGGAGACTCTAACTTCGGCGTTATGGCCTCAATGGCAGTACCTTGAGCCTTCTGTAGCTGCCTGAGTCGTGGTGTTAATATTAACTTTTTTTAAGAACCTTATTTTCCACGAGCAGAGCTCAGCATACCTGAGTAAAATACAACTCGATGCTACCTGGTTTCTGGAGGTCTCTGTTTACGATTGTACCCTCTTTATAAACAAAAGGGAGGTTCACACAAAGAACGATACCAAATTCCGTGCTTCAATCTGGTAGTCGGGGTTTGACAGAGCTAGATTACAGAAGATAAAGGAATGAAATGACGAAAGAGAAGAGAATTTTGAGCGCAACCTATTTTTGAAAGGAATGGGGAAACCTAATAAACACGAGAGCGGAAAGAAAAGAAAACGAGAAAGATAATATAAGAATACTACACCGTAACAAATACCTGAAAAGAGTTAAATCTGTAATAATCCACATGATGTGGTTTATTTTTATACTTTTAAGTATGAAATATTGAATTTAAACCCACCTTATGCTTGTTGATGAAATTATGTAGTAAGTACTTCAAAGTTCACTGAAGATGGTCTGATAAGACCGAAAACGTTTTTTTTTTGAACAAAATCAACTGTTTTAATCCACTTGGATTTTTTGATTTAATATATACCAATTACAAGAGAAGTTTTTACTTCGATGTAAAAGTTTTTTAACTATTATGGTATATAGCAAACTCCCGGGAAATCTCCCATTTTAAGCTTAAATACATTACTTCTTGAACACATGAGAAGTCCAGTTGATTTGCCCTTACTACTAAGAGCTCTCTGCTTTGGGCTTAGTCGCCCCTTTAGCGAATTGTTAAATATTTTTATTTATTTGATATATGAAACTGTGTGATTTTACATCAAAACGACGTGACGCACGGGCTGGGCGTTGGTTTTGCCTTTTGCCTCCTTATTATATTTGTGTGGGTCGTCTTTTTCTTTGACAACAATGTTAGACCCACTTTGAACACATGAAAGAGTTTGAAGATCCCTTCTAATTTGAGTATTTTTAACATTTCTATGTTTGTGATTTGTGAAAATATATATCATTTTGTTGGACGGAGTTATGGTCACAATAAAAAAAAGAAGTCAATTTAGAGTTTAGACAATGCTACTAATATGCTCGTTTTTATCTTATAAATATATACTTCTTCCAATAAACCCAACACCAAGGTCATAGTTAGTCGTCATATTTTTTTTGTGAAAACTTGTAATTTCAAGGCACTAAAATGAATTTATATAATACGAACATTAGTTTGTAAACAAACACCCTGTGATATTACTGGAAAACTCGAAACTTAGTCCCCAGTGTTAGAATCAGTCACGATCTTTCTTCGTCATATTGCTATCTTTGTTTGATCTATTCTATTTCATAGGGTCAAGTTGCTTAACTCTATGGTTTTAGTTTCTGAAAGTGAAAAAGATATGTAAATAAGGCATTACAAAAATAATTCCCGAATAATATTATAAAGTGCAAATAAGCAGCGGACATAATATAGACGTTTTATAAGGTATGGTTGTAGAAAGAAATGGTAAAAGATATCAAACACTAAAATGGATAATCTTCGTCTTATAGTGCCGTGCACCTACAGTGCGTTGGTAAATTATCTTAAGGCAGACGTCATGCGGCATGCAAAGGCTCGACAGAGTTATTTATTTGGATTACTCTAGGGAAAGATTTTTAGAAGGATAAAACTCGCGGAAAAGAGTATTTTGAAAAATTTCTTTAGGATATTTAACAGTAAGATCTCATATCTTTTGTGGCTGCAACTAAAGAAATATTGATGGTGTTGACGAGTCCCAAAATTCGGTCAAGTATACCTTTGCCGTATAAAATACCTTCAATGTGACATATCTGCCTAAATCGAGGTTTTTATACTCAAAGGCGCATTGAACTTTCGCATCTGCCAGCAAAATTTCTATTACTCTATGAAAATCCATAGCAATCGTTGCAGAAATCTCTAATGTATCATTTAGAGTAAAAATCTCGATTTAAGCAGATATGTTACATGGTTGTTATGGCACTTCCGGCGACAGAAGCTATTTTATTTCGTTGTACTGAATATTCCACGCCGAATTATGTACAATAATTGTTTTAATTTTAATACTTTGAGATTTCCATTCCATCTATGTACGTTGTTTAGCATGTTTTATATAAAGACAGTCGATTTAGATTCTTTAAGCCAGTGCATGTTTTGTGTTTTACATATTCTTCTTTTTAACATGAAGTTAATTTATTTTCATCTCAGACTTTTGTAGTAATAGAAATGTAAGCTTTAAGTATTTATTTATAAACAGTTGTATATATTTGTATTTTTTATAGCCACTGAAATAGCCAGTAAAAACTGAAGTGAAAACTTGAGAAAGGCACTCTGCCGAAACATCTGTAGTGATAAGATTTTAGAATAAATTTTGTGGAAGTTTTGAAAACAAAGTTTTCAGTGTTTTATTGTTACTAAAACTGAAGTAATTATCAAAAAAAATGACCGAATGCAATAATATCTTTTCTAACAATTGCATAACAATAGCCTGTCGTAGGCCAAACAAGCCGCTGATGAATTATAAATTAAGTCATAACTAAAACATTCTACACAATAAAAACAATTTACAACCCACTTTGTTGGTTTGTTCTTGATATATTGCTTGATGTTTAGAGATTCTTTGAATTGGAACCATTTGCTCATCGACGCTAGACACTTGTTCGGGATTCAAAAAGTTGCGCTCTTCTC